TTTGAAAAATTGTGAAGAGTGTAACTGTAGCGCGAGTCCCAAGAGTCAATTTTCATATATGCATAAAATGCATTTTCTCGTATAAAATAGAAATACTGTAAGTTAGAAAAATGATTTCATGTTTTCAGTTGAAATAGCTTCGAGTGCAAAGGGTTAACCCTTTCGGTACGAGCGCCGGATATATCCGGCATCCATCCGATGACCAATATGGACGAATGCCATCCATGTAAGCCATATTTCTGACAAATTAGAAACTATTCTAATAACCGTTTGAGTCCCAAGCAGCGCTATCTCGCTGTTCGGCATTTTTCGACCGTGTTTTCTGAATAATTCCTGGGACTCGAACGGATAAAGTCTTTTCTTACAAGGATTCCGAAAAAAACAGCTACAGGTATAATTGTCGTTTGATCTGAATCGATTTAACAAATTTCAGGTTACATGTTTCTTCGAAACTTGTTCATAGATTTGAACATATTGTAGGCCCTTTACGGAATGTTTACAGGAAACAAAAGATTTAGAAACGGATTAAAAGCACAGTCATTGCTTAACGCTCAAGAAAATCTTCGTACAAAAGTGGACCGACCCTGCGTTATGTGCGCATTTTCGGCGCGGCACCCCGTGCAGTGGGGGTGTCACGGCGGACAACGCGCTCGTACCGAAAGGGTTAATTAAGAGTTCACGGAACGCGCTAACTCGGAGCGGTATATTTAGACACGGCTTCCTTCGTCTAAAGGCAATATTAATATCCTGACGCACTTTTATATCTACAAAATGTAAAATAAGATCGATCGAAAGCTTTTTCCAAGAAGTGCCGGGTTATATATAACTGTTAACGACTCCGCGTAAGTTACATTGTTCTCGTCGTTGCTCTCCGCGCTCTTAACCCTTTCGCTACGGGCGGGTTCTCCACCGCGGTACTTCCGCTGAACGGAGCGCCGCGACATCACTGCACGCTACGCGACGCCGAACGTCAGCGGGAGTACCGCGGCGGAGAACCCAAGCTGCTTGAATGTTTTCGTACGAAAAAATTTCTCTCCAAAGGGTATTTATAAATAAAGGGTATTCCAGGGTATTTATAACGTCTTAGCATGCGCTCTTTAATTTACAGTATGAGAGGAAATAACATTATGCAATATAATGCATCTTATGGAAGGCCACTATAGTGGCCCATAGTACCTCAGTGG